TTGAAATAAGAAGGTAAGTCCATTAATGAAATTGATATTCATTTATTACTATATTTATTACAATATTATTACATTAAAATATTATGTGAAATTTATTAAAATAGAAAAACCCATAAAATGACATGTGGAAAAGAAATTAATTCAAAATAACCACAAAACGACATTTGACAAATTGAATGAGAGTGTGACATGTGACAAAAAACCTTCTTTTATTAGAGTAGAAGTAGACAAGAGTTGAATTTATTTATTAATAATCAAATACTTAATAAATATTCAATAAGTACCAACTTGATTAATGTGAGACCCTATTGGATCATATGTTATTAGCAATATCACTCAATAATGATTCTTGAGCATATAGATCCAACAATATGAGTTTGGAATAAAAAAAATTATGTATGATGTTATTTATGGTGCAAATCATACGTTCGGACATACAGTTTTGTTGGGATGTGCGAGGACAATAGAAGCGAAAGAAAATGTCATTTTGATCAAATAGAATGTGAAATTCATGACTATCAAATTCGCACTAGAGTTTTCAACCAACACCAATGGAAATCTTGTTGAGATAAACTTCATATTCTTCTCGACTACAAACACTATTATCACCATTAACATCCCTATGACAACCACAACACTAATGAAGTAGGTTTGTAAATGTTGATTAGGTCTCTTGAGGTGGGTAATAATCAAGGTTGATCGATTGGATTTCTTGTGTTTGTTGCCGAAGATTTAGCAAGTATTGGTGTCACCGATGACAAATCAAAGTATTATACCGCTAGTTATTTATCCTCGAATGGTGTAATCGGAGATGAAGGATAGGGAATAACCTTTATAATAATGATGACTTTAGGGGTGTTTGAGATTGAGTATGAGAAATACTTATTGACTTATTAGTTTTTTTAAAAAGTCAATAGACTTAAAAAGTGGGAATTAAAAAAAAATGCTTTTGAAAACAAGTTTTATTACCATAAAAAAAGAGTTAATAAAAAGTCAAAGATTCTTAACTTTTGAAAAGTGATCGACTTCATCAAAATGACTATAAGTTAACCTATTTTTTTTTAATATTTAATATTTTTTTTTGTTTTTTTATCAACTAATAGTTTTTTATCAATCACATAAATTAATCTAAATATTTTTTTATTCATTTTTATCGTTATATAAGCACTTCTAAATATTTTTTTATTCAAAAAAAGCCAATAAGCTTAAAAATGGGAATTAGAAAAATACTTTTGAAAACAAGTTTTATTACCATAAAAAAAGAGTTCATAAAAAGTCACACTCTTAATTTTTGAAAAGTGATCCACTAAAATGACTATAAGTTAATCCAATTTAAAAGAAGCAATTTATCAATAGCTTTTTATTAACCATACAAATTAATCTAAACTCTTTTTCATTATAAGCACTTCTATCAAACAATGTTTAATGCGTTAATTAAGCAAATCCCAAACATCCATGAATGACTTTTTTTTTTTTTTTGGTTAAAAATTAACATAATTTTTTTTTTCCCAATAGTATCATGTAATTTTTTTCCAACAAAAAAAAATATTTGAACCTCTCTAGTTTCTATTGACGAGAAAGGGTGGGTAATGAAACACATCCAAGGGTTTTTGTTGCAGACGGGGCTGGAAGGGTTTTAGGCAGATGTCGACATTGATGGTTGCAATAGCCGATATGCAACCTTCAACTCTGTTTCAGGGTCCAACAAATTGGATGCTATTACCTGGTGATTATTCTCGTCATCTTCGTCGACGTTTCTTATTATCATCATCCCCAATTCATTTGCAAGACAGTGATCCTGTTTGCCCTTTGTTGCACAACAGATGCGTTGTTGCTTATTTTCACGACGATTCCCGTCGACCACAACGCCGTCCGCTGTCTTCTTCTTCTTCGTCTTCTTCTTCTACTACTGCTTCTGACGGGGGTTATGAAGATGAACAGCATAAACAAGCAGCAAGAGAGGCTGTATCTGAGATTCTACAGGAAAATGGAGTTTCAAAGGAGGAATCTATGGAAATCGCTATGAAATCGCCAAAGTATCTGGAAATGTTGATGGATAGCGTTCGTGACTTGGATGAACTCTTCCAATCGGCCACTACAACTACAAGCAGCTTAACCACCACCTGTTCATCGATTTCTGGTTACAAGAAAAAGGTTTTTGATATGGGAAAACAGAAAGGGGATAAAGGTTTGGTTCCTCTGCTGGAAAGCATGGTGGGTCTTCCTCTTCCTTCCGCGATGCATATTGCTCGTTATCTCTCTTCGCACACCCCTCCTAACCTCCTCCACAAGGTATTATATTCTTCATTTTCTTTGTCTTTCTTCTCTTGCTTACTTACATACCTAATTCGATGATCTTCTGTTACCTGGTAAAGTTAATTATGATTTGGCATTTGCATATAGGTCAAATATCTGAAGCAAATATTATTCTCTGATGTTGATGGAATAGTGCCAATTGGAAGGAGTGGTCGAAGAATGATGATGCACTTATCAGTACCTGTTGATGAAGATGTGCAACAGACCTTATCATTTCTCGAGAAGGTGACATTCCTATGCTTTGGTAAATCACCATCTTATTGCGTTTGCTTCTCCACCTCATTGCTTCTTAATTTCTGCCATTGATATAGATTCAAGCAAGGCGTGGAGGTCTAGATTTGTTAAGTTCAGGAGATGGATCTTTTCGGTACCTGATCGAATCATTTCCCAGACTTCTTTTGCTCTCTGTAGAATCCACTATAAAGCCAATGGTAGATTTTCTTGAATCTATTGGAGTCCCTAAAGGTTGCATAAGAAATGTTCTTCTGTTGCACCCTCCAATTCTTTTCTATGACATTAAGAAAGAAATCAAACCAAGAATGCAGCTTTTTACAAAGGTATGATGATGTTTATAACTTTTCTATCATGGTGGCAATTATGTAAATGCAATTCTTGATTCGATATATACCGTTTTCTTTTATCAGTAAAGTGAAAAAATGTTGTTAAAATGTAAGTTTTTTTCTTCATATTTAGGTGTATGGAGAGGATAAGGAGTTTGGTAAGATGTTACTGAAATACCCTTGGATTCTTTCCACAAGCATAGAGAAAAATTATGAGGAAATCCTTTCTTTTCTTTATGCAGAGAAGGTATGTATGATAACTTATGCTCAAATATCAAAATTGATATATGGTAAATTGTCAATAGTGACAAGATTTCATGACAGGTGGCAGTAGTTAGCATTCATCGAGCAATCAAGAGCTGGCCACTTATTTTAGGTTGTTCAGTTAGAAAACTGAAGTTGATGATTGATCAATTTCTTGAATTGGGTGTTACAGATAAGATGTTACACCAAGTTATTGCCACTAGTCCTCAACTACTAATTCAAAAGCCCCAAGAATTTTGCAAGGTGGTTTCTTATTTAAAAGATTTGGGACTTGAAGAAGAAACCATTGGAAGAATTCTTGGCAGATGCCCAGAGATTTTCATGGCAAATATTGATAAAACTTTGAAAAAGAAAGTTGAATTCCTTTCTGAAATTGGTGTTTCCAAGAATCATTTTCCTCGTGTAATCAGAAAATATCCAGAGCTTCTTGTATGCGATGTCAACAAATCTCTACATCCAAGGTAACCTTTTTTTATCATTTCATGTTTATACTTTATATTGATTATATTAACTTGATGTTTCCAGAATGATGTATTTGTTGAAGATTGGGCTATCGAAGAGAGAAATTGCATTTATGGTGAGGAAGTTTTCACCATTGTTAGGGTATAGTATTGAAGAGGTTTTGAAGCCAAAATATGAGTTTTTAGTGAACACAATGCAAAAGCCATTAAAAGAGGTGGTTGAGTATCCAAGATATTTTAGCTATTCATTGGAGAAGAAGATAAAACCAAGATTTTGGGTAATAAAGGGTTCAAATTGTGAGTGTAGTTTACAAGATATGTTGGGTAAGAATGATGAAGAGTTTGCAGCTGATTACATTAATCTACCCCCTCCTCCATGAATACAAGAAGCTTCATCTTCTTTATTATGGTTTATAGTTTTGCTAAATGTGGCAAAAAGGGGACTGAAATTAAAAAACTTTATGGAAAAAATTCTAAGTGTTTCCTCTTCACTTGAGCAGAAGTGGAATGTAGCACCAAGGATTAATGACGAGTTTGCCCTTGGGTTGGAAGCTAACCAACAGCACAGAAGCAGGCTATGTTGGTAATAGTACCTGCTGACATATGTGAATATTGAAACAACACCAACTTATACTCCCAACACATCTTGTTTCTTTAAATCTTCATGCTACTTGTTATATAAAAAATATATTCTAAGGGTAAATGCAATGTTGTTATTCACATAAGACATCTACATGTAATATTTTAGCAATGTACTGATTTTGAACTATGACATTATACAAGGTAATATGTTTTTATGCAATGATGTTATTCACATAAGATATCTACGTGTAACATGTTGATGAGTCAACTTATTTTTTAATAAGGATAGTATTATAAAATGACAACCAATAGTTTTGAATTTGCTATATTTAAGTAACTCATATTTTAATTGAGCTTGGCAAATGGGTTTTTTATTTTATTATTATTATTATTATTATTATTATTATTATTTTTGTGGTGTTTAATTACATAATTGAAATGCATTTCAACCAAATGAATCATTAGTCTATATGATATCTAACATTGTATAATTTGTTTATTTCTAAACACAAGGTATATATTTATTTTGGTATTATTTTCTCAAAGTTAATATCATTATTTTATTTTAATTATAATGTAAGATAATTATGATTAATTTAATTTGTTCGTGTATAAATCAAATGAATATGTGTAAACCCAGATCATGACTAGTGGGAAGGGATTGCAGTTGCATATCTACAAGTTCTACAGTGGATTTTCGTGAAGTTTAGAGTTTAGACAATTGGGTAGAAAATTGTATCCCAAAAATCAGCCAATAAAATTAAAATTGAAATCATGGTATGGTGTTCAATCAAACAAAACATATACAAGTACGTCATCATGTAGAAGAAGTAGATGATCGAACAGAATTCCAGATATGAGCGACGGAAGAAATAACTTGAGGGAAGACATGAACGACTGTTCCAGATAATACACCGATGGCTAGGGTTTGGGGGAACCCAGGCTTGGAATCCAACTTCGATTCAAGCCTTAAAAGGCGGTTGTTGACGGCGTCCATATTGTTTTTCTTGCTGGTGTTGACGACTCTCAGGAGAAGATTTTGCAGATCGTCGATGACTTTGAGAGAAGCTTCCTGAGGTTGCATCCCTTGGGACTCGTAATGTGCCACCATCTCCTTTGCGGTTGGTAGCTTCTTCTTCGCTAATCCTTTGCGTGCCTTTTCCTTTTCGTCCGCCATTGTAGCTCTTGGTCCCAATCCTACTCCCCTTATCGGAGGTGGAGGAGGAGCGGCAGTAGAAGAAGCGCCGATGGACTTCGATACTCCGGTTCCTTGCATCATAATCGATAGTAATTTCAAGTGTAAACTATAAACCCTAATTTTTTACTTGCTGTCGTTCAGATTTGAGAAGACGATAAGGGGTTTGCAAGGTTTATCGTTATCATCATGAAAAAGAACCCTAGTTGGGCCACTTGGTGCCGGCAATATTTGATTGGGCTTATTTTCATTTAAAAAAAAAAGGGACAATATACATATTTGATTGAGGTAGGCATGTCCTTGACACATCCGCGACAAAACACGAAATAAACGGGTTTGGGTTAAATTTTTTAACCCGTCAATCCGCCAACCTGTCTTCCCGTTTATTAAATGGGTCATATATGAGTTTCTCAAAAAATATATGGGTTGACCCGTCAACCCATTTAGAATTTTATAAAAAAAATTATATATTTTTTAAATGTATTAAATATTATACACTATACAGTTTATACTTTATACTAGGATTTGATACTCGATACCATTAACCATTTGACTCGTGGGTAACCATTTGCTGATTTGCATTGCAACATGTTTGACGTTTAACCTAAATAATCTCAGTATCTCACAAAAAAAATCGAATAAGCCCTCTCCCGGTCTCCCCTCTATGATGAACGACATAATGAACTCACGAAGAATGATGGCATGAACGATTTAATCATTATCGAACGACATCGACGCATGCGATTGAATTTATCAATGTTTGTATTAATGTTTTAGTTTGAACATGTTTCCATGAATGTTTTTAGTTTTCATTTGGATTTTTAAGACTTAAGTTTCTAAAATTTGGATATGTTTGCATCAATAATTTATTCATGTTTAATTATCAATTTTATTTGTGGAATTTGACCCACGAACACATGAACCCAAATTCGACCCACGAACCCGCCAATCTATGAACCCGTATAAATAAGTGGGCTGACGGGTCATATATGAGTTTATGTTCCAAACCCGCCAACTTGTGACCCGCCAACCCGTGATCTGTATAGTTAAATGGGTCGTGTTCGGGTTGATATATTTTGACCCGCCAACCCGCGACCCGTCAACCCGAACATGACACGATTACCAAGCCTAGTTTGAGGGGCACATTCTGTCTCAGATCTCGAGTGGGAATTGTCCGACTTTTTGGGATCGGTATTAGAACAGTTCAGTTCGTATTTCAGATCAATATCTGTTTTTTTCTTTACCGATCTTATTTCGGACCGGTCTTGTTTAAGATTAGTTCAGTCTCTCGTGGTCTTTCTGTTTTCTTTTTCTTTCAGATTTTCAGTCTCTCGTGGATATTATGATAGTGGTTTTCAATTTCTTTTTCTTTGGCCATTATAGTCACACATCAAAAGCCCTCAATGATCTAAGTGTTTCATTGTAAATGGTGGTGGATGAGATGAAGAAAAAATATTTGGAGTTCATATGTGTAGAGTGTACTATATGCTACTTCTACCCCGACTAGTTCTTATCCTTATGACGAGTGAGGTGTTGGACATTGATATTGACGTAGGTATTGGGACGTAATAATCATATGAATTGCATCTTGTTTTGATAGTGATGATTCATGATGATGATTAGAAATGCTTGCATTTTAAAATGCTTCTTTCCCAGATATAATTGTTACTAATCTTTTTGATATTTGAAAATGTTTTGGGGTTTGATTTTGGATTTGGATTGTTGGCATTTTCTAATATCCTTACCCCAATAGTGCTTATTAGGCTTTTCAAGCCTAACATATATATTTTGACATGTATTTGGATTGAAAGAGTAAGTTTAAGAGTGATGATAATTTAGCTCTTAGATATTTAGAAGGTGATTTATTAAGAGTTTAAGATGAATGTATGAATGTTTACTTTAAACCATTATCTCTCGAATATCTTGCCACAACATATATGTCTTGACACTTTAACTTTTTTGAATGATTAAGAAATTGAACCTCTAGGACCTTTATCTACAAAATGTTTTCTTTAAATGGTTTTTTTTTTACAAAATGATGTGCATTCTTTATTTTTTTCTTTTATTATTTCAAATATTAGATACAAGGGGCGTTTCAGAATTGCTTTTAAATTGTATTTTATATTGTATTTATTTGGTCACATAAATTATTTTTCATCAATAAACTACCAACAAGAGGTCTTTTAGAACAATAATAATACTTGTAGCTTATTTTCAAATGGATGTAGAGATTGTGTTTCTAAATAGAGACATAGACAAAATGATTTATATTGTTCAAGTAGAATACTTTGTGTCAACTAAGATTCCGAGTCTATGTTTTGCAAGTTAAACAAATCAATCTAAAGTCTCATACATGCTTCTCATAAATGCTATCACAAGTGTCACCAACTTATCACCAAGTATGGTTTTAGGAAAAATGTTATTGATAATTTATGTATATCACAGGTAAAGTAGTATTAAATATGTATTTCTTATATTACATGTCGATGACATTCTTTTCGCATGAAGCTATGTAAGCTTATTGCATGAAACAAAAAAAATTATGCCAAAAAATTTAAATAAAGGATATTGGTGATTCCTCTTTGTATTGAAAATTAAGATACCTTTCTCAATGTATCCTTGGATTGTCCTGATAGAACTGCATCGGAAAATTCTGAGTAGATTCAACATGAAAGATAGTAAACCAATGGATACGCTTGTCACCAAATGAGATCAATTCAGTCTAAAACGGTGCCTTAATAATGATCTTTAAAGAAAAAATGATATAGGGTGCCATGCTATTTTTTGTTTTGCTTTTGATTGATTTTTACTTATTTCTTGTGTATGCTACTGATTTCGTGTATATGCTATTTCATGACATGCTACTAATTTTATATGTATGCTAGCTATTGAGAATGTGTTAAGGAATTAATTGGTAATGACTTGATTTTTAAGGACTTAATGATTCTATCATGTGTATAGGAATTGTAATGAGTTAATTATATAATCCTTAAATTGTTTTTGGTTGTGACTTAATTCAAGGACTTAATGTATTTATGGTGTCATGCATTTGATACTATTATAATATGATGTATTTAGGGATTCCATTGAATTAATTAGATCATATTGACGTAATTAGATTGTATTGACTTAATTAGAATGTAATGACTTAATGAGTTAAACCCTAAAGTGTTTTTTCTTCTAATTGGGTAGTTAAAAACTCAATGCATTTGTGTTATGATATGTTTGAAGTTATGATGTGTTTGGGAAGTGATTTGATATTATGATATGATGCATTTTATGACTTAATTAGATAATCTCTAAATTGTAACGAACTTTATTAGATAAACAAACATGTCCAAACAAACAAATCCTATATCTAAATATGAAATTTTGGTTTCACTAAAACAAAATGCAAAACATCATAACATTTAAAGTATAATTATATAATATAATAGAAAAAAAAATGATAAATGTAAGATGACAGTTCTTGCATTAAAACCACAATACTATGTATAATCTAATACGTGAATGATTTAAACTACAATGCTATAATAGAAAAAAACAAATATAAATTGCGAAAATATGAAAGTACTAAGAAAATCAAATTTAACGGGATATTGTTTGAAGTAATTTCAACAATGTCATAGATTTTGGGTTTCACTTAAAGAAAATAAAAAAACCTTTATATTTAAAGTAAAACGCTATAATTGGAAAAAAAATATTAGTGAGATGCTATAATTAACAAAAATATGAAATTGTGTGGAATCATCGATTTTTAGTTTACGTGTCTTCATTTTAATTATTATGATCTTAGAAAATACCCAACCAGAACCGATTCATAAATTAATTTTCGGTTGTGCCTGTTTTGGAACTTTTTTTTTGAATATTTAATCTCATTAGAATGTGAATGAGTATGACATGATTGTTTGTTTAAGAAAGTTTCGGTTGTTATTTTCTATTTTCTCATTGGGTATATATTTTTATATATACTTAGGAACCAAGGGGAAATGTTGCAGAATTGTTTTTTAAACGACCAATCATGTAATACACATTTACATATAAGGTTAGTTATTCAAATAATGAGTTTAGAAGCCCACCCTTTTCAATACTCTATATGTTGTCTAGTTTTTTGTTATTGTTTTTGGGATGATTTTTGAATCATCAATTTTAGTTTGCTCTACTCATATGAATATTCCATCTGATTTTTAGTTTTTGTAGAGTAAACCCTAAACCCTAACTTATGTTTCAGGTGCATCATTCCTATTAATAAAACTTGTATTATTATTGAATATTGTAACTCTATCATGTTCCATCTAGGACTTGAATCCTTTACCGAGAGATCCAAAGCACACGTCTATGATAAAGGTCGAATCATATATTTGTGTAGAAAATGTGAAAACAATGACTTTACATAAATAACAATAAAGAAATTCCATATTCATCAAAATGGTTTTAGTTGACATTATATTAAATGGAGGTATCATGGTGAAAGTAGAACTCATCCGGTTGTAGATGATGTAACTCCAAGTAACGATATGGATGACGTTATCGCCGATGTTATGGATGTTGAGGGGAAATCATACCAATGATGATGAATGGAACTCGGATACAAAGGGTAGCAGTTTCGATGATGGATTTCATAAGTTGTTAGAGGAATTCTAATCAGAATTATATCATGAGTATACTTGATTTTCTTCCCTTGAATTTTTAGAAAAATTGATGCATATCAAGGTGAACAAAAAACAGACTAATAGTTCATTCGATCAACTCCTTAAGTTGTTGCAACAAATGCTCTTATGTGTGATGCAGTACAAGGAGTTCCTGAAAATGCATCGCGTATGTGATGCAATGCGTTTTCCATGATGTGGTGTGATGTGTATGATTTTCTAGATGCATAGCGAGTCATGATGCGTAATCTTTTTTCATCTAATGTGTTGTCTTGGTTTTTTATTAAGAAAATTCTTTTAATGGGTTTTATTAACGACTTGGGCTTATAATGGGTTAAACTAATTCGTTTTTTAACAAAAAAACCAAAGTCGCATCATTCAATCTATTTCAACAACCATGATCCTCAATCATGTGAATTAGTTTGGAGACCCTTA